CTTGGACTTCCCACGGTGAGTATATTCAAATATTCGTAGAATCCGTATCTACTAGTACTTGAACCCGAAACCCGCTCATGGAGGGTTGGGTGCCTAGACCACTAGGCCGCAGGATCCCAACCCATCCTTAAGATATTGCTTTTCTTCTTTTATATATTCTGTATCCTCTTTTTTTTTCTCTGCACTTCTTGCTTTTGTACCTTTTTGACTTTACGTGCTTTCTTTTTTTGGAGAGCCTTTTCTTTTTTATATTGTTTCCTGTTGGCTAGTTTTTTTGTCTTCTTTTATGCTTCTTTTAATTGATTCAATAATTCTTCATTTGTTAAAAGCCAGTAGAAAGGCATGATTTTTTTTTTTCTTTTTGGAGGTAGAGATCCTAACTGCTTTTCCTTATTTTTTAAATTTTCAGTTAGTAGACTAGAACGTAAAAGATATTTAAGTATTTGCCACAAAGAACTTGTACCAGGGTTATAGAGGGTTTTGATCTCTTCTTCTAAACTCTCAACCCTTTCATTTAATAGCTTAATCTCTGATACTAGTTCTTTTTTTGTATGGTTTGTCTTTGTAAAATATGTATAATCTGGGGTTAACTTCAAAGATCATAAAAACTAAAATTATTGCAAAGATAATGAAGATTGTGAAAACATGGAAGATTATAAAAACAAAGAAGATTGTAAAAGTAAGAAAGATTGTGAAGACAAGGAAGATCATGAAGACAAAGGCTCAGAAATGTTAGTATATTTGGTTGTTATTGAAGGATCTAAACAGTCAGGACCAATTGCACTAGGATTAAATGGCCAAATTCTTCTAGCTTTAAAAGAATTGCATATTGCAGTAGACATATAGGTTGTAATATAGGATACTTCTAAAATTTCAGCAAACATATACTTTGTTACATGTTTACCATTGTTAATGTGAATCCTTTTATATTCTTAGTTGTATGTTTTTTTTAGAGTAGTGAATAGTAGCATAGCTGGCTATAAAATAAAAGTAGTATGGGAGACAATAAAGAAGAATATTGTTCTTATTATTTTTTGCGTGTAAACTAAAAAACTCTTCCCGTAGATCACTTTACCAAATTAGAAACAAGAAGAAAAAACTTTCCCGCGGCATTTTCTCAAAAA